AAAAAAAAAAAAAAAAAAAAAAAAAAAAAAAAAAAAAAAAAAAAACTCCCCAACTCTTCAAAGGATGCACAAAAAAAAGAAAAATCCTCTCAAGTCTTAAAAAAAATAGAAGACAACACTTGAACACATGCTTCAAAATGCTAGTTAAAATTACCAAATATATAGCTCATGCCTTCACAAAACCACAAACCAAAAAAGTTTTTCACTATTGATTTCTGCTCTACTGAAAAACTGGGACATAGAAGACTTTAGAGCAAGAATATAATCAAACCAACTCGAGTATATTTTGTTAAGTATATAAAAGGACAAAAGTACAATTAAATATGACCATTATGGCTTAGCTTGAATACACTTATCATTTATAGAAGAACATAAAGAGGAAAAAAAATTAAACTTCTATCATAAGTTAAAATCAACTTATGCACGTTAGCTATTTTAAACTCTCATCCAATTTCTCCAATGTTTGATTAATTTCACCTTCCTAGTCTTTTCCTATAAATGTTTTTTTGCAAAGTTTATCTATATTGGGCCTATATATTTTTAAAGGTAAAAGAAAATATGAATTAACACCCTAAAAAAGGACAGTTGTCTACTTTATTACCAAGAGAAGCCAAATACCCCAAGACAAATTATACAAATTTAGTCATGTAATTATTAAAATAAAGCTAAACAAAATAGGAGTAAACCCCCAAATTTGTTCCTCAAAACACATTAGTCCCTAAAGAATGGAGCCTCCCTGCTCCTCCCCTTGGCTAATAACCACCTACGTCAATAATATCTCAATTATCTAATTAGCTGTATCCAAGAAGCGAACACTAAAAAGGCAAATGCCACCAAAAAGCAAGCGTGCCAACCGCTTTGAGCCGTGTAAGTAACTTGAGGCAACAAACAAACAAACAAGAGGCAAAATTCCAAAAACATGCGTGATAACACGAATCAGATGCACAATAACTCAAATTCCAAACATGAAGGAAAAACACGAAACGAACAAACAACACTCCAATCAAGCAGGAGAAAGCAAGTAAGTAGTAAGTACCTGATGTCTCTCAAGGCATCGAATAACTCGAGAGAATACACATTATCATCGTCCGCAAAGTAAACAATCCCATCAAGCCTATGGCGCTCAATGTGCTCCAACGCCGTGTTCCTCTGATGAACCCCTCTGTCCTTCACATCCGTCGAATTCTTCTTGCACACCAAATGCCTATACATCACGCCCGTCTTCCGCAGCACCTCCGCCGTCTCCATCGACGCCGCGTTCATCTCCACCACCACCCACACCACCGGCGGCGGCACCAGCCGCAGAACCTGCGCCAGCCTGTTCAGGAAATACGCCTGAAAAGCCCGTCCGTACGTCGGCGTCACCACAATCAACGGCTTCCTCGGCGCGAAATCGAACCTCTCGCTCTGCCTCTCCCTCTCCGCGCTCAAACTCACCGGATCGATCACCAAACCCTCCTCCACGCCGCGATTCCGCAGAACGCGACCCTCCC